CCTTCGACACAAAACTCGGTTTCCGTATTTCCTGGGAGATCAACAACTTCCTCGAATGAGAAGGATCTCGGTATCATTGTTCAAGACGACCTAAGCTGTTCTTTAAACTGCTCCCGGGCGTCGCCTACCGCTGTAAGACATGTTGGTCTGTTAAAATGAGTATTTGGCAAATTTGAACCTACGCTGTTCCCACGATTGTTACCAGCCTACATCCGACCCCACACAGAGTACGCCATTCAAGCATGGAACCCATGGCTGCAACGCGATCAGAAGATTCTGGAACGTCCACAAAGAATGGCCACCAAAATGGTCAAAGGACTGCATTCCAAGAGTTATGCGGAAAGATTGGAAGCACTGCAACTGTACTCCACACAGTATCGCCGCATTCGAGGAGACTTGATCTTGGTACACCAAATAATGCAGAACCCAGACCACCCATGTCGTCCACTCTTTTCCTTGTCGCCCAAAACTCACCTACGCGGGCACTCATCCAAATTAGCGCTCCCAAAATGCCGACTAAAATGCCGGCATCATTCATTCGCCCTCAGAGTATGCACTACTTGGAATTCTCTACCACCACACTTTGTTTCTGCGCCCACAATTGGTTCAAGCACAAACTGGATGAAGCTTTGAAAAGTTTCAAATTTCAACATCCATAGAAGCGCACGGAAAAAGGACAAATTGTGACATTCATCTACTTTGTATGAATTGTGAACCGATTCATCTGTGCCAAATCCTATGGAACTAGAAAAGCCACCGCTTGTAAGTATTTCCCATAATAAACTTTGACTTCGCATAAATTACCTCCACCTGGTACGGTAAATCAAAAGCTTTATTTGTCTTCCCTAATGGCATTTGCCGTCGCAGTGGTTCGTGTAAACCGGGTTTTTCTCCTGTAGAAGCACGATAACTACCAATAATTACATTGCTCTTTTTGCTCATAGCATCAGCTCCTTTGTGATAGGGTTACCACCTTTATTGTTTCCCTTGGTGATAATGATTGAATTTTAATTGTTGACAAACTTAATCATGGATCATATAAAGCTTTAACGTCTTCCTGTCTAGCACCCATCGGAGGAGATGCCACTAAATTCTTTCCTCTCACAAATTGGAAGCCCAGATATCCACTGACTACCACCGTCTCCTCTGTCTTACGCTAAAAATATTTTGGGATTATTATAACACGCGTTCATCAAGGCAAAACAAATGAACATAACAATTCAAGATCTTTCGGTCGGAAAAAATCAGTTTCCCAAAGATAAATCTTGCCATCATCTCATCTTGGTTTTCCCTCCAACAACCTCTCCATTCTGTTGGTCAGTTTACTGAAACAAAGAACATTATTTTAAGCTTGGGCTGTTCTGTAGAAACAATATTACTTCACACTGGTACAGCATGTTCTCTGCTACTAAAAAGAGTAAGGGTTTATGTTGCAGCACACAACCACTGTCAAACAGCTTTCCGTTAAAATCAGAACGGATGCTACCAGGCTAAACGCTAAAATGATTTCACAGGAAAGGTTCAAAGAACGAAAGCAAACAAATCGTTCGTGAACACTTCTGGAGTCCTTCCTGATACTTATTTACAACGGTAATCAGCGACCTACTCTTTATTTTGCCAGCTAGGATCTTTAAATATGCTGATTGTGTGGCACTATGCCAAGCCACGTCAAAAAAGTCTGATAAGGAATTATTTTCTGACGGTTTGATACAAGTACAATTATTCCCGGTTGAATACATGTGGTCTCCAGTTGAATGGATCAGTCATCACCTACGTAATCACTGTTATATTCCAGAAAGCAGTGCCCGGGGGAGGACAGTTGTTTAATATGAATAACGATCAGGGTATCCGTGAAATTGGCATCTACATAATAAAATGTCTCATTTGGAACGAGTCTTCAGAATTTCCACACGCACACAGGATAGTTGATAGAACGCTCCACTAGTAGATGCGCATTCTTGTAGTTACCATGTTGAACAGCAGAAATTCACTCTAGCAGGTTTTGTTCATTTTTGACCGATTAAAGAAACCGCCAATCGCATCTTTTTACGAACTACGCACAAATGTAAGGAGTATATCAAAACACAACTACCAGAAGACAGACCACTGAATACCTAGGAGTCACCATAGAGAGAAATCTACTGTAGTCCTCCCTTATTTAATGTTTTCTTAAGAAAACTGTGTTGCTTATCCTTTATGTGATTTTCCCTGATCTACTTATAGAGGATTTCATTGCTCTTCGCAGTGAATTGTCTATTATTAACCAAGTTTCTCGCTTTCCCAGAAGAATCCTAATCACCGAACTGTGTGATCTTCATATGAATTCACGTGACAATCTGGCCCATAAAATTCTTAACGAGCCCAGTTATTCGCTCAATCCTGACCCATCTGCCTGCCGTTCCCCTGCCATAATAAAAAAACAATTTTCATTGATTAGCCTCGAGTATAAACATTTATCATGACTCAGAACTATTACTCTATTTAGCTCATACTCTAACTGACCAGAAAAAGGTCCTAAACGAAGTAGTGATAAATCTACCGATAGTGTTTTATCATTAATGTGTATGAGTTTTACATCATTTGTATCCCAATGTAACGGTGAACGCGGTTTTCAACTGATATGTAGGGATAGTTGTGAGCATAAGTGATTCGATATAATACAAATAATGATGTGCATAAAGAAATATAGCGACTATAAATTCGACGTTTTTATACAACTGATGACATCATTCCCAGAAAATTACTAATCTTGGGAGGATTTATTTAGTTTTTCCATTAATGTTCATATTTATTCTTCAAAAAGAAATCACACCAGAAAAATCAGGTAACGTCATTCATCATGCAGAACACTTTGAATCTACGGAAGAATTAGTTAACGTAAAATATCTCGCTGAAAAGGTGACATACGGCGACCCATGGCATCATTTATGCGGCTTCTTCCTCTGGAAAGTTGCACAAAAACGGGCGCAGTAAAATTTAATGAATTATTATATCGACTGAACCTGTTCCTTGGAAGTCAATTCCCTTAACGATCGATTAGGTTTCTGTTCCTCAAGGTTATTCTCTTCTTCCTCAAATTATTTATTTATTACGCTAACCTCGAAGCAGGATAATTCCTAAGAAGTATAAATAAACACAGCTCACGTTGCACAAGCAGAAGCTTTAATGATTTAAGTGTTTACGACTCACAGTTTCAATCAAACATGGCATGGACAATTATCGACTTGCGGAAAGCAATTGCATCGTAATAGTACTTATAACTTCTGTAGGCGCAAAGCCTACATTTGAGTTAAAAGTGTGCAAGGGAGAGAGAGAGAAATAGCTAAATCCCAAATCTTTTAACAACGTCCGTGAAAACCTGTTCTTTGTAAACTAGAATACGTGCTAAAGAGGGCAATGTAGGGCTACGATATATGTGTATTCCAAAGGGAGCACAACGGTATTAAGATCTAGTTGACGGATGGGAAAACAGAAAGTTAAATCTATATGTAGCGGATGTGTGCGGTTGATAAAAATCCTATGTGCAAACTTTTCACAAGCATTTAAATGACGTTCGCGCAGGTTATTTAACTAGTCCAGCGGTATTGAAGAGATGCGGTTAATGATGGTCAGTCCATGTCGAATAAGTTTAAAATCCTTATTTAGGAAATTAAAAGAAAACAACAGATGAAAAGTAAAGTAAAACGGGGAAAACACATTGATACACGAATTCGGAAATAATCGATTGTTGAATATGAAACAGAGAAAGTTTACAGGTATGGAAAGAAAGTCATCGACGTGTACTTACGACGTGTTGAATGTGAGAGGTCCAATAAAGATTAGCATCGATGAAACAACCCCAGGTATTTAATACAGCTTATCCGAGATACTGGTTCAAAGCCAATCGATACCGGTTCAGATGGGAAAGAACAACGTGTTGATGTAAAGACACGTTCAAGACATTTGGAGGGATTATTGGAGAGGTATAAAGCCACATCGTCAGTGTATTTGAAGAGAGAAGTACGGGAGGAGGGGGTCAGCAGATAGGTCGTTAATATATGTAGTATGGGAAACGGACTGCATGTTGGAGCATCCCAGAAGTGTTCCTCAATGGTTTAAACTTCCTCCGATCTAACATGGTAGACTGAGTTCTCCTGGAGAAGTAATCAACAAGCCAAGCTAATAA